GATTGATATTTGACTTTAATTTTGATAGGAACTTGTTATTGTAAATTTTTTACGACAAAAACCCATGGGTACCCATGAACCCGCGGATACCCAGCGGGTTGGGTTGGGTTTGAGTTTTTCAAACCCAGTGGGTTTTACCCCGGGTTTTTTTCACGGATAAATCCATGGGTTTGGGTTTGGGTTTGGCTAAACCCGACCCAACCCGACCCATTGCCATCCCTAGTCGAGATTCCCCTTCCTCTTCCCTAAGGCAGACGCGCGGTCGGAATCCCTCTTCCCTCCTTCTTCCATTCGCCCATCCAAATCCTCCTTCTTCCTCTTCTTCTGTTCATCCCGGGATCAATCCCTAGTTGATATCTCACCAATCCCAATCCCTAGATAGAACCTAATTCTCGGGGTTCTATCATTTGGTATAAGAGCCCCATTCTCGATCAAACAAAGACGATCAAGATGGTGCTGACGAAGTCCATGACTGCAGCTGAGAAGGCGGCCAAGGCGGCACAGGAGCAGGCCGCAGTTGGGGCGGCGACGGGACTGCCATCCTCTGGCGATGGCGCGCACGAGGTTTCCCATCCGAGGGATGGGGAGCTGGTCGACGAGACGATCCGTGAAGAGCTCCGCACCGACTTGGAAAAAATGGAGGAGGCGATGGAGCAGGAGTGCCGGTCCAGGCTGAAGGGTGAGCGGGCCCGCGAGGCGGACTCGCAGGCGCTGTGGCTCACGATTGGCGAGCTTAAGGAGATGCTGGCGGAGGCCTTGGGGCGCGTCGGAGGCGGCGGTGGAGGCATGACCGGCGGCGAGGGCCGCAGCGGGTGGAGGCTACTCGGCTGATGGTGAGGGATCGGCGGCGAAGGCGCCGGCGGAGGCGGCAAGGGGCGCGGCGAGCGAGGCCCAGGAGGCGGATGCCGAGCCCGGACGGGGCGCGACTGGTGGCGGAACAGGACCGGGCCCAGTGCCGCTAGGTTTGGGCGCGGGCTCGGGTCTCTTGCCTACAACTACGGCCCAGGAAATTGCGGCCCGCAAGGGTAAGGGCAAGATGCCAGACTATGACGCGGAAGGGCCTCTGTTGAATGTTGGATCAGAGATGGTGGGCCATTTTGCGAGAGGCGCCAATGGGCTTGTGTGGATGGGCCTAGATGACGAGGCCGAAGATGACGAGCTCAGTTTGGTGGATCGACAGGCGCAGTGGGCCAAACCGGTGGTGGACCAGAGGGGGCTCGAGCCGGGTAAGACAGCCGACCAGGCTGGACGGGTGGGATCTGCTCCTGCTGGGCGGACCGTGGCTGGTTTGGCCGATGCGGGTCGGACCAAACCCGGCTGGGCCGGTATGGGGCGGACCGGTACGGGGCGGACTGAAGGTGGTCGAACCGAGATCGGGTGGGCCGGCGTGGGTTGAACCAAGGTGAGCCGGACTGGACCTGGGTGGGCCGGTATGTGTCGGCCCGAGGTGGGTCAAACCGGACACCGACCGAGCCCTTCCGATCAACAGCCAAGAAGGGTGTACAGCAGGGGACCAGCAGGCTGGGAAGGTCAGTATGGGGCACCCCATGCTCCTGGAGGGTATCGGGGCCAACCAGACGGCTACCCGGGTGACTATGGGCCAGGAAATCTGAGTCGTGGGTAGGGGATCTTGCATGGGCAGCCGTGGGGGACACCGAGTAATGACAGGTATGGGTCGTATTATCATAACTATGAAGGAACTGATTGAATAGTTTTTCAAGCCAACACTCCTATCATTGAGTTTCCAAAATTCAATGGGCAAGAGGATGCGGGTCTTTGGTTGTATGCAGCTGAGAGGTGGTTTAAAAACTACCCGATTCCGGAGGAGAGGAAGGCCTACCTGGCGTCCTTTTATTTGGAGGTTCACGCGCTCCAGTGGTGGGAGTGGATGGAGAGATCCTACGCGCTTGCTGAGACCTTGATCACCTGGCCCATGTTTCAGGAGGAGCTCCGCTACCAGTTTGGAAAATCATAAGGGTGGGCACCTGAGCAGCTGACGAAGCTGAAACAGACCGGCACTGTGGCCGACTACCACGCAGAGTTCTTCAAGATGGGTAACCATTGTAGGGGAGTTCCGGAGGACACATTGGTTGGGCTATGCATGGCGGGCCTCAAACCCGAGATAGCAGCGACGGTCAGAGTATTCGAGCCGGATTCTTTGAAAGCTACTTTTCGTCTTGCAGGTCATAAAGAGGAGGAACTTGCCAGCTGGAGGCTACCATTGGCCGATACCCGAGGCCAACGGGAGGGGGAGGAAGTAGTGGGACAGATGACAGTGGTGGAGGATCGCCGGCGGGAAATGAATCTGGAGCTAACACCAGGAGTGGAAGCACGGCGCCGGTGGCTAGGGTGGGGTCGCGGCTCATACAAAAGGGGTTCGTGCGGCTCTCCCCGGTCGAGATCGAGCAAAAGAGGCGAGAGGGCAAGTGTTTCAATTGTGATGGCCGGTTCACCATTGGTATCAATGCTCGAAGCCCGACCTGATGATGTTAGTCAGACGCTGGGAACAACCTTTGGGACAAGGTTGTTTTTCGAAGGAAGCGGGGATGATAGAAACTTGCATTTTAGTACTTTGATTAATTGTCGGTTTATCGCTATTTCATATTATTGGGACTATTTCGGGAATTGGGAAATATTTTATAAGTCGGGTAGCAGTAGGGAATTATCCATTTTTTTATATAAACTACTTGTACGTGGGATTAGGTCACTAAGCAAGCATAAACCTATATCCTAATTGTCAACACACTCTCTCTCACCCTTTCCCCCTCTACCGAGATTCCCCTTCCTCTTCCCCAAGGCAGCCGCGAGGCCGACCTCCCTCTTCCCTCCTTCTTCCATTCGCCCAATCCAAATCCTCCTTCTTCCTCTTCTTCTGTTCATCCCGGGATCAATCCCTAGTTGATCTCTCACCAATCCCAATCCCTAGATAGAACCTAATTCTCCGGGTTATATCATGCATCCATGTTTCCTTGTCCTCATGGCTGACAGATCTGCTACGGTCACCTCGAGCTCAAGCTTCGGCTCCACCTCTATCGAGAAGACCATCATAACCTTCAATCCTGCAGCTCAGCTTCCTCTGAAGCTTATCTCTCTAAATTTTCATTCATGGCGTTCACAACTGGAGACTCCGCCCATGAGTTTCGATCTCTATTCATACATCGATGGCACAGGCACTGCATCGGTCAAGACCATCACCGTTGATGTCGCTGTTGCTCCCAATCCGGCCTATTATCATTGGTTTTGTCAAGGTAAGCTAATCCTTCATGCTCTTCGTTGTTCCATCTCTAGTAAAGTATAAAAGATGGTGAAGAAGAAGAGTTGGGTGTGAATTGTGGTTGAGATCAAATAGCTACTAAAATTATGTGATTACTGATTAGCAATTGTAAGAAGTCGAGGTTTAGCTCTCTAGGATTGCTTGAGTGGAAGTAGTAGGTAGAAGCCTTCTTTAGCTATTGGTGTGTAAAGAAATCTTGGTTGATTTCAGTTCTGCAAATTGTATAAGGGTTTGAGATCCACTTCACTTGTGGTTAGTCTGTGAAATAAGAAACCCTATGAAAACTAGGTCCTAGAGGGAAACCACCTTTGAACCAAGACGTAAGTGATAGGCTAAACTCGATTACAAAAAAATATTGTGTCATCCCTCTCACTATTATGTTCCTTTAAGTTGCACACTCTGCTTTCTGCATATTTCTGTTTAGCTTCACTCAAGAGCGGGAAAAATGGTTTGAAAGCAATTAGGGCTCGACCCAATCAGATTACTTAAGTAGAGTGATCTGTAATCAAGTGGACCGAAGGACTTGAGGCCCATCCAAATTCAAATAAGAATCATCTCCAACCCCTGCACCTTATGTCCTTCGTTTTCATTGATTTAGAGTTTTAGACTAGAGGTGGCAATTTCAATCCAATCCACCAATCCAATCCATCAATCCATTAAAAATATTCATCTAATCCAATCCATTTAAATCCAATCCATTTGATCCAAATCCAATAGGATTGGTGGATTCATGGATTGGATCCATGGATCATTGGCAAATTACGGTTGAGTACCTATAATTTTTATTTTTTACATTTTGGTACCTAAAATTTAATTTTTTATACGAAAAATATCAATGGAAAATTACGTTTTGGTACCTAAAATTTTTCATAATGACATTTTAGTACCTAAACTTTTTACATTTTACATATTGGTCCTTGGTTGAGGATGTCATTTGGATTCATGGATAATCCACTTGATCCAATCCATGAATCCACCAATCCATTAGATCCAATCCATTTGATCCATGGATCTACCAATCCAATCCATTTGCCACCTCTAATTTAGACTCATCGAGTTTGATCTAATCTGTTTCTCTCTGACTCTGAGGGTAGTAGTTTTTCAATAACAATTCTAAAAGTCGTCTCTTTGATCTAATATGTTTCTCAAGATTGTGATGGAATGTCCCTTTCTAAATAGTGAAGGTGAGAACGAGAGGAGTAGTAAGGTTCCACAATATCTCTAAGAGCTTGAATCAAAGTCGTCACTGGGACAATGCGCTGCTTTCGAAAGAAGTCATTGCATTCAAACATGCGGTGCATTTAAATGCTTACTTATGTGGTTCTGTTTGAAAGTACCTATCAAATTGCCGTCACACATGCGATGTTGTCTAATTTACATGCAATGTTGTTTGTGTCAACAATTCGATTCGAGTGCACCACCTGCCTACCACTAATGGGTATGTTAGGGGTTGCTAATGTTACCCGACTTTTAACGAATCAACTTTAGGAATAATTATACGTATTTTATTTTGATCATTCTATCTCCTTAAAGGGCCAAAAATACTTCACCTCATTTAAAATTGAACCAAAATCGAAACAAATACACTTTTCATCCAATGCATCATTCTTCTCTTTATTGTCACCTTAAATCGAACCAAAAACAATTGAAGTTTTTTTTTTTACTAATTCATTCCGATTCTAGATAGAACTGAGCCATAACCAGCACTGGCCTTCGTGTGACCACCAAACTCGTACAACACGAAATTCATTCAAGCAATTAATTTTACAGCTAAGCAAACTTCACCCCTGATTTACTGAAAACTTAACAACCATAAATATTCTCAATTTTACAGCTCTCTTCCTCTGCAATCTGCATACATCTGTTTGGAATCCGGGATACTTATTCTGGTGGTCCACTGCTTTCTACTGCTGATAGGTACAGCGACAAAGAGAGAAACTTGACGCTCACCCATCTCTATGGTCATTACAACTTCAGTACCTTTCAGCTCCTACGAATCTAGAACGAACCCACACAGCTAATCAACTCTAGCAATTAGAATGAAGACAGACCCTCAATCGACTACCTATTCCTATAAATACAGCGTACGACTTCCCAAACTAGTTATAGCCCATATTGCATATCACGCCACTGCCATGCCTCCCTGCCCCTAAATAACCAACCGACTCCCAATTTTTCAACTGCTAAAAACGTCAATCGTTCATATGTACAGATCTATGAACTCTGTCAATCTACCCATGTGCTCGAGGGAATGGGAGTTGGGAAAGGAAGGAAGAAACTGTTATGGGGTAGTAGTAGTAGGGCCATTTTCTTAGAAAGTCAGCTTCTCTAGAGCTTGATCTAGAGGCTCCCTTTCCCTACTATGGCTATTCCTTGGAGACTGCGGAATGGTTCCGCTGTCATGATGATAACTGACTAACTCACCGGAATGGTCGAAAGAGAAAGGAGCTGTGGGGGATATCCACCTTTGTTTGGCAAATGAACAGCTCAGCCTGCCTTGTGCTGTGTACAGAGACTCTGCTGCTGCACGTTGCTTTGTGGCGTCGTCGACATATAGGAGGTCTTCGATTCTCGCTACGATGTTGAATGCTAGGCTCTCCATTACCCTTGAGTAGCTCTCGATGATGGCACGCCCTACATCCTGCAAAAAAAGAAATGTGGGTGAGCTTTTGTGGACGGCAAGTAGTGGGCAGGCATGCTTAACTCTCTTATCTTGAATGGTTCGGGTTTATCTTACTTATACTGGCACAGGATTCGGAAAGTAAATCAAATTTGTAGCCACGATCGGTTAGGTATCAGGCAGCAATTTTCAGGTAGTAGGATAGTAATGAATTCCAAACCTAACCCACTACCCAAACTCCAAAGTATTCCAAGTTTTATTCAACAGAACAAATATTCAATGTTTTACTACTAGTAATGAAAAGGCACAAGAGCACGATGATTTATTGAATGGTAAAATATCACATACCCTGTTATGTTGAATCTTGCTCATGTCTAAGGAGGTCTGTGGAAGGCCAGGGAACCGAATGCGTAAACTGTGCAAGACATTCTCGGCTCTTTTTGCCAGAATCTTGCATTTGGGAATCTCGGCAGCTGAGCTTTTAAGTTTTTTGCCACCCCATGATGACGATGATGTTGTCGACCTCCCTCCGCCAGGCATGTACTTTCTGATGTATTTCTGGTTCCATATATGAGCAGCAGCTTCAATCTGGTTAGCTACTTCCAGACTGGTGAATTCCGAGGATGAATCTAAGCGATCCATGAAGCCATCAGGAGAGAACTTGTCAGCAGCTAGGTAACCATGTAACGTCTCTCCTAAACAAGATTTCGCGCTCTGAAAAAAGATAAAGGAATAAGGATACAATCAGAAAGGCAAGAACTTGAAAGTAAGATTACAGAGATTGAAGAGGACAGAAACATGGTTTAGGGGTCATTTGGCGAATGAACTATTGCCTGGTTCCATCAGCAAATTGATTGTGGCACAGTGCATTCATTACTAGGTTGGATGAATTCAAAGTGTAATCGTTGATGGATTTATAAATGTAGTGGATGGGAAGTGATACTTTCAAATCCATTAGTCTTTAAGATCATCTTGTCCTTGATTAATTTCAATAGTTAATTTTCCCTTATTACGAAAGACTGATTAGAATATTAGTACTTTAAGCATTATTAGGAGAAACTATCATATTCATTTAAACATTCACTATCTATCGTATCCCAAAACATATTTTATTTCAATAATCAACCACACACCACCAAAGAATCAATGACAACGAAATGTAACCACTAATATATATGGAAGAGACAGAGTTTTGAATTATTACCTTGGGTAGGCTGTCCAAGTAAGTATCTGGGATTTCCATCTCAGCAAGCACATTGCTGTTAATAGCCATGGCAGCTTTAAGAATCTGATTAGTGCATTCCCTACACTGCTGCAACTTCTTCCTTGCATTCTCAGACAATCCCTTTTGAGGAACTTTAGGAAACGGCAGCCACCATTTCTCTTCCAGCCTCACCGACGATGTCTCAGACCCAGAAGTCAATGACAACATGAAGTTCTTGGTGTCATCATCTCCAGAGACTACAATTCCACGCTCCACGTAACAGAATTCTGAATTAGAGAACCCATCTAGAATATTGAGCAGCATGGCATCGATCTTCTTTAGAGCTGGGACATTGACAAAAAGGTCTGACCGTGGCTGTGGTACCATGATCTCGAAGGTTCCCCCACCAGGGAAGTTCTGGACCGATGGAACTAGCTCTACAATGGAATCGCTTATACATAAAAACCACTCCATCTCTCGGTACCAGATTGCCTTCTTTTGAGGTGATAATGGTTGCAACTTCCACAGTTGGCTAAATACAGAAGCTGCAGAACATAAGGCAACACAAAAAAATCAACTTAAAATCCTGGCTACCCAACAGCAAAAGTGAACAGATATCAATAACCTTTCAAACAAGGGACGAACCAGAGAGATTAGTTATGGCATTGGATATTGCCAGAGCAGTGGAAACTCCATTTCCTCCACCTGACATGTCTTCTCCAAGCAGAAGCTTGGCGAATCTCTCTTTCATTAGTTCAGTTTCTGCGAAAGCAGAATTCATAACAGCATCATGAGAGCAGACTAAAAGGTTTCTAGTTCAACCACGAACTATCTGCACTAATTACAGTCGTTAGCGCAAAATAATTGTCCTCCACCTGTTCGCTTAAATTCCTGAGAGACCAAACAGGAGCTAATCAAAGGAAAAAGAAGACTTAGTAACGCCTAGCTCAATGATCACACATAGTTCACGCTAAGAGGTTTCTAACCAGAAAAAGAATTCACAATTCTCACAATGTACCGAACGAAAAAACCCAAAAGAAGCAAAGCCGTTAGGTCTCCCTCCAAAAACCGGCGCCAAAAACAGAGAACTCAGGGAAGAAGACTAACCGGACAATTCCGACTCCGGTTTCTCTGCCTTCTTCGTCGGAATCAACACGTGCCTCCCGTCGATCACCGGCGGCATCAGAGTAACCGGCGGCGCGTACACCTCGTCGTCCAACTCAGGCGCGTCACGGAATGGTGGAGCGAGCGAACAAGGCGACGTGAGGAGAGAAGTGGAATCTCTTCCACCTCCTCCTCCACCGCAGTCACCGCCGTCGAAATGCCGGAACGAAGACGACGAGACGCAGCTAGAACTGCTCTCCGACTCGCTGACGTCGGCGCTCAAGCTGTACCCGTCGAGCTCGAACCTCTCGCCGTCGTCCTCCGACGAAACACTCCCCATTTCTCCTCGACCAGGGCAATTGCTACCGTGTGGGGGAAATGAAACGAAAGAACGCAGAATTTTTCCCCCTTCTTTCACCAGGCACACTGATTAGCCGGAGAAAGATCAGGGAAGAAAAGTTGAGTGGGGGAGAAAAAGGGAAAGCGCAATAGGGAAAAAGGAAAAGCGGTTGTTGTCGCTGATCAGTATATAAAAAGAAGCTTCCCAATCGGATTCTTTTCCTACTATTTAATAGGGATAATCAGCTTATTTTAATTCAAGCACACTGATAAAATCATAAAATTCAAAGATGTGAAATCTTTATTGTTATTAACTTTATTTTGAATTTAATTAATTTTTGGGGACCAAGATGACTATGTGAGTTATTCAGAATTTTAAATTCTTAATAGCCGTTCGTTTTGGGAAGTGGCAAATCCCGTGTTTATTCTCATCGAGATTTGCTATGGTGTTTTCAGAAACATTTAATAAAAATCTTAACGGGTCCAGTGTATTTTAACAAGTGAACGCCAAATTTGATCTCGCTTTACTATCTATTGTTTAAACGATGTGTGGGATGATCTGACTAATAAAAAAAAAATGGGAGTTGCTAATTGTCGCCCTAGTTTTTTATAATCGCCCTAATCTATAAATTATTATTACATTTTTATCCTTATCTTTTACTATTAAAAAACATTATATTCTAACACAGAACATAAAGAAAAACTCCCACATTTTACATAAAAAAACCTCCCTTAGGGGTCGTTTGGAAGTTGCGATTGTTTTGTTGAGATTGTCATTATGCATGTATTGTTTACAATGCATTGTTTTTTTGTTTTTTTAGCCGAAACAATACATGTATTGTTTCTGTGATGTGACAGAAACTATCACTCATTTTGAGTGATTGTTATATCTCAACTTTTAGTTGTGATTGTTGAGATAGTTGAGTTGAGATTGTTTTGTCTCAGCTTTTAGCTAATGCGACATACACAATCACACATACCAAACGTTGTATTCTACAATGTATCAAATTCGACAATACATGTATAATATTATACATGCATTCTCAACAATACATCTATTTAACAATCGCAACTTCCAAACGACCCCTAGTCATTTATTCCACCACCGCCGACTTGACCCTGTCGGCCGTCATCCACCACTTTCCGACAGAGGAAAGGAACCCGAGAGTTATATTTTCCAGACTCTCGATGTTTCAGTAAAAGTTGTCGACGCGACCTAATGTTACCACCACGGTTGCTTTCCAGAAGAGGTTGATGATGGTGGCCACGGGCAACTTGAGATAGACAAACATAACTTCCACCAGTTTTGCATCGGATGCCATGAACAAAACCAATTTCTTCTCCCTGTTCATGATCTTCTTGACCTTATTTGATTAGCATATCACCCAACTGGCAACTTTATCATCTTCTGCAAATAGAAGCTTGAAGATCGAGCTGTAGCGGAGTGCTTGGGAGAAGGAACGCCGGCTAGGTGGACGGTGCCGATGGTGAATCGGGGAGAAGGATGTAGGCGACGGCGGGGAGAACGAATGGATTAGGGATTTTAGGAGTTTTTTTTTTGAATTTAGTTTGTTTAATAAAGGATAATTCAGTACATTTACGTTTTAAGTTAGGGCGATAATAGTAAAATATTTGCGACGTTTAGCCGTCCAGAAAAAAAATGAGTGTTACTAATTAACGTCCTAGCTTTCTAAATTTTTCGCCCTAAAATTACTTATTTGATGATTTTGCCCTCAACTTATTCCCAATCCTTAACCAAGTTTCGCCCTAGGGATTCGTCGGCCTTCTATCCTCCACCACTTTCAGGCCTTCCGCCGCGCCGATCGAAGACGCATAAGAGAGGAAAGTATCCCCCGCCTTCTTTCCTCCAGAAATCGACAACGGTCGCAGCCCTCTGCTTCACCGAAACTCAACCGTCGCCGCCCTCGCCTTGGTTGAGCTACCCGCTTCCCCTTCTTTCCTCAAGAAATCGACGGTGGTTGCCGCCCTCTACTTCGCCAAAACTCAACCATCGCTGCCCTAAATGAAATTGACACCCTTCCCCTTCATGCTTCCCCATTGTCGATCCATCCCCTTCCCCTTCTTTCCGCCCAACTGCTATGCCGAAACTCAACCACCGCCACCTCACCTTTGCTGGGTTCTGCTCCGCCGGTTCAATCGTCTCTACTCATGCCGAGCGATGGTTTTTGGAGGAGGAAGAAGGAATCGTCCGCCTGGCTGCGGGTCGGGTCGGCCCCTCCATCTGACTCATCGCGGGTCGATCAGGAATGACTGGTTCTGCTTTGCTTGTCCAGTCGGCGTCAATTTTTGGAGGAAAGAAGGTGGACGATTGAGGACGCTTACCCTTTGCTTAATGTCAATTTCGTTCAAGACGGCGGCGGTCGAGTTCCAGCGGAGCAGAGGGCGCCAGCCTGCGTCGATTTCTAGAGGAAAAAAGGTGGACGGCGATTGAGAGCGCTTCCCTTTGCTTAATGTCAATTTCGTTCAGGGCGTCGGCGATTGAGTTTCGGCGGAGCAAAGCGCGGCGGTCGCAGTCAATTACTGGAGGGAAGAAGTTAGGGCGATCAATTCGAGTTAGGGGCAAATTTGTCCGTGCAATCGGGTTAGGGCGATTAATACAAATTGTCAGGGCGTTAAATAGAAATTCAGAAAAAAATTGCCATTGCCTTTGAGTCAACTCAACAGTACAGTCACGAGTCTCCACTGTATGACGGCAGAGGGCGGGGTTTATTTTCAACCCGGTAAGCGTGGGGCCGCCATTTTCTTCGGTGGGCCGTGGAATTGGCAGGTAGTGCTCATAATTGATGGATAATAATACAGGCCCAATTAGGTAATAATTTAATGGGCCCAGGCTTGGATCTTTTTTCTTTTGTTGATTGTTCGGGGGTGTGCAATGGTCTGGTTTGGTCCGGATCATATCGGACAGAGTATAATATGGTTTGTTTTTTAGTCCCATTGAATTTTACAATTACTGAAAAAATGATGGACAGAGCTAATATTTAGACCGGACCAAATGGACATGCAATGATGATCCAGTTCGATCCTTAATTCTAAGATATCTTTTACTAATAAATCACGGTTATCATGAATTTGATCCGGTCCAAACCGAACCATTGCACACCCGCTCGATCGTTCCTTCCGTAGGAAAGAGTTTGCACTCCTCTCTGCTCGGATGTTAAATTCCATTAGCTCGGTGGTTGCAGACAAAAGGAGGAGAATTTATTCTTTTTGGTCGATTAGGGAGTACAATATTAATTACGGGATCCTGTAGATGCAGGTTTTGAATTTATAACTTTAGATTTGAGAATATGTATTAGCAGTCTTGTGTCCTCGTTTAACTTCAATTGAATTAAACAAACTATAGATAAACAATGTTACCTCATAGCAGTAGCATTGATATGTGATCTTACTTTATTAGTACTGGATTTAAGCTGAGGTGTCCTGGAAAAATATTTCGTATAATTGATACTAAGAATGTACATTAGCACTTTAGCAGCAATGAGTGCAAGGAAAATGGCAGGAAAGAAGTAGATTAAAGGCGTGAATAAATCATTCTTTTTGGAGTGTTATTTGCTCAAACTGCAAATTTATTGGTAGGATCGAACAAATCATCCTCAAGAGTCTCTCCAATCAAAGTTTGGAAGCAGGAATCTTACAAACTTCTATGTTTGTGTTTTGAGAAGGAAAACGGGAAGAAGAAGATGAATGTTAGAATGAAATTCAGGCGCAAAAGTTTTATATTGTGAAAAAATGGCAGTTTCCTACCGAAGGGTTATTTTGATTCACAACTTCTGTGTTTGTGTTTTGAGAAGGACAATGGGGAGAAAGAGATGAATGTTAGAATGAAATTATATGGCACAAAAGTCTTATATTGTGAAAAAAATGACAATTTCTGGTAGGATTGAACAAATCACCTTCAGGAGTCTCTGCAATCAAATTATAGAAGCAGCAATCTTACAAACTTTTGTGTTTGTGTGTTTGAGAAGAAAAACGGGAAGAGGAAGATGAATGTTAGAATGAAAGTCTAGCGCAAAAGTCTTATATTGTGAAAAAATGACAATTCCCTTCTGAAAGGTTATTTAGATTCACAAAACTCAAAATATATTAATTATCTTAAAATTAATCAAAACTTAATTCTGGAAATTAATTAAATTAAATCCCTAAATCTTACACAAAATTTTCAAAAAAATTCACTAACCACATTATATGATAAAGTAAAAAATTCACTAAAAAACTCAAAAAAATCCTACGCCTTACGATTTGGTACCAAACATTCCCATTTGGTATATCTTTTGTCCATTGTCTTAAAATTGGTAACAAATTTAAGATTTGAGACGGTGTTTTTTTTTCATTTTAACCTAAAGTTTACTGAATTTTTGCAAGTTAATTTGCTTTTGCATAGGAATTATAGTTCTTTTTTCATCATTTTCCATTAGGAACTGAGTTCTATCTTTTCATTTTTGAGCAGTTACATATTTTTTAACTATACAATATGCCAAAGGTCTTCTACTAGGTTAAAATAAGCTTTATGTGTCAATATTTTGGTAATTTGTGTGGACCGATAGATATCATAATATTTGTTTTCAAAAACTTTTACCGGCCCCCCTTATTTAATTTCCTGGCTCCATCCCTGCGGTGTGGTGGAACTTCGGGGCGCCGGTTGGTTGCCGAGCTCGAAGGAGGGTGCGGTCCAGGATTGGTACCGTACTATGGCTGCAGCGAGAGAGGGAAGAGTACCACTGAGGCCACGACGAGCCATTTCCGACCATGTGTTGATGATGTTCAGGGCTGCGCCGCTGTCGCATAAGATGTGGTGCATCGCAATTCCGAGGCATACTCCGCCGCATTTGAACCTCGTTACATGGAGATGCTCAGTTTGCAATGTAAAAATATATGTAAAGCGGGATTCAGGTTTAATTATTAGAGAAGGACAGTATTTCGGTTTATTATTATTTTTCTTAGTATTTCTAAAAGTATAAATAAAGTATAATATCATTCTATTGATTTGTTGGAACGTAAATGCATCATTCTAATTCGATCAAGTTGGATACATGAAGGAAATGTTCTACAGTTCTCATGATTTCAATGCATGGGTGTTAGATGGAAAAGTTATTAATTATGATTGGATTCGTTGGTGAGCATGTGTGATAGAGAAAGGAAAGGTGTAACAGGGGAATTGGAATTCATTATTTCATTTTATAGTTGGTATTATTTAAGCTCGTGTGCCTGATTGGAGAGGCTGGATGTCAATCTATACCTACTTGAGGTGTAGCTCATTAAGTTGTGTGCACCCAAAAGAGGGAATTTGTATGCATATGAGAGGTCTATTCTTTTTAGGTGAGCTATATGTGGTGTATTTTAGTTCTCAAAGAGGATATAAAATGCTTATTTAATATGCACAACTATCAAATTAATATATATAAAGTTAAATCTAATTTACTGTTGCTAAGAGGTATTCTAATCTTACATACTATCATTCTTTTATGGGTTAATATCTTAATTTGGCCTAAAGTTTGGCGTAAGTGACAATTTTGGCTCGATTTTTCAAATAAGACATTTATGGCCTACTTTTCAAATTATTAGACAGATTTGTCCCGAAACATGAATTGACCGTTAATTTTAACGGTCAAATATTTAATCCTTCAGTGACTCAGCGTTCAGTGTCGAGGTGGCAATGGAAAGGCTTCCACGTCATTTTCACATAATTTATTTATGTTTAAAATTCTAAAAACTGGAAATAAAATAAATAAATAAACTAATCCCCACCGACAAACCTCCGCCATCCCTAACCTTCCCCAATCCGCCACAAATCAAACTTCCCCTCCGCCATCCCTCGCTGTCATCAACACATGCAAATCCCACTCAATAATTGTCATTCCAATTCCTCTCGTCTCTCTTTTCCCCCCCTCATCATCGAAGTCACAGGGAGACCCAAATGGCCAATTCTCACTCCTTCCAATCCAATTACAAAAATAGCTAGAATTCCCCACAAAACTGTAAAAAAAAAAGTCAATCGGAGCACAAATTAGCAAGAAGTTCCGGCGAGCCGCGCCACACTCATCTCTGCTCTCTGTCGTCGCCGTTGAAGGAGGAAGGAGATAACAGGGGAAGGGAACCTCCAGTCCCGCGTTCCCCGTTGAAGCTCGACACTTCCCCATCCGTCGTTGCAATCATCGTCGCCATCAAGATCCGTCGCAACCGCAGCTCGATCTTCTTGGATTCGAACCATCAATGACTATTCCTCTCGCTCCTTTGTCCCGGCGAGTTCCATCAGATGCAGAGATACTCCCTTGCGATGGCTGATTGTGAGAGAAGCGAGATTGGGGAAAGTTTTTTGTGTCTCGGTCAGGGAGGAGAGGGATGAAGAGAGATTGGGGAAGTCTGTGTGTCTCGTAGGGTTACGCCGTTCTTCTACCCATTGGAAATGGAAGAGTCACGGAGGAGAGGGATGAAGAAGAGGCGGCTAGGGTTACAAAGCCAAATCGCAGGGATTATGTCTTTTTTAATTTTATTTTCAGTTTCTAGAATTTGAAACATAAATAAATTATTTGAAAATGATGTGGAAGCCATGTCATTGCCAGTTTGCCACCCCAACATTGAATGCTGACAGAGTAAATGTTTGATACGTTTCGGGCCAAATTTGTCTAATAATTTGAAAAGTAGGACATAAATGTCTTATTTGTAAAATCGGGCCAAAACTGTCCCTTGCATCAAACTTCGGGCCAAACTAGGGTATTAACCTTTTTTTTATTGACCAATCAACTTTGTATAATTATCCACCTAAACTGAGACAGTGTAAGTGTAGCTTTATTTGCTAGCCTAGCTATAAATTTTTTTTCTTTTCTTTTGATTAAGTTCACTAACATGAGTGGAGTACTTTGATCATCTTCTTCAACATATTTCTCAAATTTAGAGAAATCAAGCTTTTAAATCAATTTAGTTTTTCATCGCGGCAAGGTGGTTTAATTAGCTATATATATATATGATGCAATTCTTTCAACCTCTCCCAAATTGAGGATCTTTGTTTAATCAAGTGTTATTGCTTCGTTCCTTAATTGTCATTGATGATCTGAGATGGTTATTGAAGCAAGTGCATTAACTGCAATGCTGAGGTCAGAGAAAGAAAGGAAAGATTTCAATTGTCTAGAAACGAAAAAGAGAGTAACTTCAGCCAAAGATTGGAATAGGAAGACGGTCAATCGAGCTAGCTGCAAATTTATTGTAATTAGCCACTAACTTCTCTTTTGTTTTTACTAATCACTAGAGGTATTTCTTCTGTTTCAAAATGAATATCAATTCTCTGTTTCATGCTAATTAAAGAGAATTATTTGCAAAGACACGGCCCCTACTGTACACATAGACTGTAATTACTATTCAATGTGATCGAAATTTACTGTACTCTTACCTCTTATTGGATGGACCTCTGCGCGTGGCCCCGGTTGTTCCATTCAGAGAAGTCGAATTGGGCCGCCTGTTTGTGCCAGACCTTTTCCACCTTGGGCCGGATCTCCCTAATGATTTGCGAAGCAAGGCACGTTGCCCGCGGATCTGGTTAGAGATCCTCTTATCCCTCTGATT